TATAGATATATATAGTATATACATGTATATACAGTATAGGTATGCATGTATGTATGCAAACACGCTTTTATACATATCATTACATATCAAGAGAGATGGAGAGCACAGGGACTGTAACAAAAGATGCTCAACTTCGAACGCCATGAGTGGCGCGATGATATTTTCTTCGTCTCTGGGATGTGGTTTCTCAATCCAAATGACCATGCAACAACGTGATTCATACCGGAAACCTGGGTTCAGGCTTCCGAAGATTACAACGGAATCAATACATGACAAAAAAAGATTGGAAAGAACAGCATCTTCAGATATCTTCAGAGTTCCATGTCAGATTATGACAATTTTGAACGAAAATAATCTTCAATCGTTCTTTTGGTACTTTCACGCGTTCCAATCGTCAGATGGGAAGTCACATCATGACAGCACCTCGCAACATCTGGAGCGAAATAGGTCTTAAAGAAGTTGTACCTGAAGCGCAACCGTTGCAAGATCTGCAAGGTTTTTCTGGAAATCACTTAGTAAGGATATCTAAGGATACTAAGTATAAGGTACTAAGGATATCTAAGGATACTAAGAATACTAAGGATAATCCACAGGTACTTACTAAGGATATCTAAGGATATCTAAGGTCCTAGTGGATAATCTAAGTTTGGGGGAAAACGCTCCAAGCTCGGTGGAGCTGGAGGAAAATCTCTGCTTTTGGCTGAGCTTTCCGGCTGCGGAGAAAGACTGACGAAAAGGAAGGCCTCGTTGCTCAGCCATAAAATATGGTAAGTGTAATGGATTTTAAATGATTTTGACATACCCTCTGGTAATTTAACATAGCTATTGAAAATGACCATTTATAGTGGATTTTCCAATCAAAAATGGTGATTTTCCATAGTACGTTAAATTACCAGAGGGTACTTGGCACCATAGAATGGGGGTGTTACCTGTCGGAATGGCAGGACTCCGCCGGTATCTCTAGCTCTTTTTTTGGGGGAAAAAATGTCGGTAGTCACCTCCAATGTATCCTTGATACATTGGGGACTTCTGATTTCTGGCGATCCCAAGACCTTTGATACCTCTGGATAATTTGAAATAATGGTGTTACTATCCCATGATAATGGCTAATACTTAATTTCTGGATATTCACCATATATCAGCAATTTTTAGCCATTAAGCATCAACATTAAGTTAACCATTAACATTCATTAACCACTAAAAAGATATATATGGACCATTCACCATTATGGAAATTTCACCCGTCACTGGGCTCGAGGACAGCTACGGTGCCAAGCAACAACAGGTGGGTGAGAACCTGATGCGAACGCCATGGCGGCCATGGCGACAAGACCCATCTGGACACAGATCCCAAGCGCATTTCACTGATATCCCTGTGAAATCCCTATCAAAATGGATGTTAAATCAGGACAAATTCTACAATCTTACCTGAACTTGAAGTCCTCGGCCATGTTGGGATGGTTACCCAAGTTATATCACTCCAGTGACATCGGGACGTGAGGTCGTTGTAGGTCAACCATACACATCGCGATGTGCCAAGGTCAAAATTTGGTTATGGTAACCTGGTAATCCATCGCATAGTGGGAACCTTTGGTTCATGGGCATCAACATCCCGTTGATTGATGACCATCCCGCAATATGAGGTGTGCTGAAATTCTGAAAATGGTGGTATACCCGCTTAAATTGCTACTTTAAAGGTGAACATGATGATAATCCGTTGAGTTTTTTTGGGTGCCATATTTTTAGACAAACCCACATTTAGAATATGTTCTAAAGGAAAAACACCTTTTGCCGAGATTTGCCCAGAATACTGGGCCCTGCGGCCCTGCACCTAGTTCTAAGTGGGTTTATAACTGAGTATATAAGCCCGTTGGACTTGTAGGCAGGTAGTAATTGGGGCATGTCGACATGCCCATTTTGAAGCGATTCTCCCAATGCAAAAAGCCCAAGAAAATCAGAATATATTCACGTTTTGTTGACTTAAATTGCTACACTATACCTTGTTGAAAGCCATTGAAAGCCTCTCTTGGTGTTTGATAAAAGGTGGGAAATGGACATGCTTGGATTCTATGCAGAACAAGATCTCAAGAGGCGGTGGATCGGTTTTCGTTGCATTCGCCAAATCGCACAGGATAAGATGCATAGAGTCATCCACTCTGTCGCAAATAACTGGATCAATGATTCAATGATTCATGGTACTGTATGTTCAAGTTAAGCCATTCATAGCCTTTCCCAGACACAACAAAAATGGTCTGGATTTCCAATTCTTCATTGCTTGGAACATGTTGCCGGAAGCCGTTGATGCTCAAATCCCATGGCTAGACCCAGGCGGCCGCACCAGCAGCGAATAGATCAATTTCTCGAAGGAATACCAAATCACGAAAAGGAAGCCGTAGCCCATGATCTGCAGTGATAACGTGGCCAACGATAATCATTATAGATAGCAGATGGTGTTATATCACTTTAGCCATAGGTGTTATATCATAATATATCAGGTGTTATATCACTATAGATATGGCCAAGTTGGTGGTTGGTTGACCTACCCCTCTGAAAAATGATTGAGTGAAAGTCAGTTGGGATGATTACATTTCCAACTGGATGGAAAAATAAAAGCCATGTTCCAAAGCACCAACCAGATAATCATTATAGATAGCAGGTGGCTATAGCATAGGTGTTACATTATTATATCATACTATATGTTATAAACTAAAGATAACTAATAATGGGAAAATATGGGAAGATATACAGACATATCTTAATACCATATTAAGACCATATAGTAGTGGACAATATGCAATATCACTTGGCTAACCATATATCCTGGGTTTATGGGAAGTATAACTATATAATATATATATATGTATATGAATCGGGATCTCAGTTCGATCTATGGGACTTTTTTTTTGGACAGCTGTTTGATTAAAAAACACATGGAAACAAAGTCAGACTTAGAGCGTCCATTTCGAGGGCGAGAAGAATGAGAATGGGAAATCAGAAACATAACCAGGGTTTCCTGGCAGATACATGACCTGAAATTAATGTTGATCAGTATCCATATCAAAGCAACATCAAGGCGCGCGTACAGGTGTCCATCCATCGGTCCATCTAGTTGATAGTCGGCTGGTCCAACCCGAGAGTTTAACCAAGGAAGGTTAAAACCGCACATGTCCTAACGTCATGTCCTACCATCTAAAATGGTTTTTAGTAAGCTATAATGCCAAGTGAGGATAAATAAACCCCTCCCGATTAATCAACCACCACTGCCCCCCATAAAAAAATGTAATTTAAAAACAGGTGGTCCCCCCGGATTAATAAACCGGTGGGCCTACCCCCGATTAATCAACCACCACTTCGGAAATCCATTTTTTTATCCAACATTTTTATTTCCAATTCTATTTATTTCCAATTGTTTTTTACTTTTTTTTAATCATCATTGTTATACTTCAGGTTTAAGTTGATCATTGAAAATTTCAAAAAACAACTATTCCCCAAATAATCGATTTCTAATTAAAATCTTTATAAAAAACATCAGTTTGGATAGCTCCCAAAGGGTACCCCCCCATGAGCCCATGTCCCCCATTAATAATAACCATGGTTTGCCCCTGATTAATCAACCACCTTTCTGATCCATGAAATTTTAACAAATCCAATGGAATTCTATTAAGATCTAATTGACGTAAGCCATATCCAAAGGTTTATGGTTCAGAATTGTATGGTTCAGGGCTGTTTATTTACGGGTAGTCAAGAAAACTAGCTAGAAGGTACCTACCTACCTACCTACCTGGTGGGGGGGGTTTATTAATCCGGTGTTGGCATTACATGCTATATTATTGGGCCTAGCCTAGCTGCTTCAGAAACGATGCCTTGGGTTGCGAACCGAAGCCCCCTAGACTCTTCTCAGGTCAGCACCACACAAACAATGGCCACCAACACCTGGCGCGACAGAAATGGAGCAATCTGGAGGTCTGTTTTCTATCAATTCCACCCAGAAACCATGGATTAAACACCACCCAGAAACCATGGTTTAGGATTTAGGGGACCATTCAAGGAATGTTCAGTATTGTGTGCATGGGGATTAATAATTCTCTCAAATTTTGCAATGGAATTTCGACATGTCGCGATACTCTCATGCAGGGCAGGGAGGTCAAGCAGCATTTTTTCCCTAATAAGGAACCCAAGAAAGGGGTTGACCCTTCATCATGAACATCACAAGACTTCATAAACTCTCGTTGGGCAATAAAATCCAAAATCAAACACTCCAAAATGATTTTCAACATGGGTAAATAACCCTTTCAATATAATGCAATTCTGTTTATTGTCATCATGGCAAGTCTTAGGGTCTTAGATGCTGGTGCAAAACAAATCGATTCCAAGCCGGGTATGATGGGTCTTCATTGTATCTCCCCAAAAACAGAACACATACTGTGGATGGAAGAAATCCTGCATCAGTTGGTAACTATTCGGTAACTATGAAACACTGTAAATAATGGGATTACAAAGGGATGTTTACCATCTACCAACTGGCGCAGGATTTCGCAGCCATCCGCAGCATCACCCAAAAAATGCGAACATGCCAATGAACAACTACCATTCACCAGTCATTCGCTTAAAGTTGCTTGGACAAAGCATAGTTCAAGCATTCTACTTCAAGTGTACACATCGTTTATCTATAAACGGTATAGTATGTATATAATGTATAAATATAAATATAATATTTATAATTAAATTACATATGTCGGTGTGTGTGTGTCTATATTCCATTCACTTGCTTTACACAAGTCAAATGAATACATGTTTGATAGTTGCATCTCTCTGAGTGGCAAACAAAACTACTTACCACCTGCAATGGACATGGCCAAAGTGGGTGGTCCCCTATCGGTTGTGAATGTTTTCCACAAAATTGAACATCCCATGTCCACTCCCCACTACTTCAGTCTTCGGCTAATTTTGTCGGTTACTATTGAAGCCACCCTAAACCGTCTCTGCGTGGGACCAATTCTCTACACCGCGGTTTCGGGGGGCTGCTCTCGCACCAGGAAGCGCCAACTTTCTGCAGCTCCCTGACCTGTCCGACAGCAGAGCTCATTTAATATACTCACCGAAGTGCACATATGCTGCCGTATTGCACTACATTGCATATTGCCATATATCTGTAGATGTGAATGTTGTGTACATTATATTATAATATATATATATATACATTAATTTAAAAGTGTGTGTGTATATATATATATATGTGTGTGTGTGTATGTGTGTGCATGTAAGATATAATTTATATATATATGTGTGTGTAAGGTATTATATCATAGAGCGGTTTAAGCATACTGGTTGCTAAGGGCTTTTTAGATTTTTTTGGGCCAGTAATTTTCCCAATGATTTCCCTTAGAATGCTGGGAAAACCCCATTGAAATCCCATATGAAATCCCACACAATGTCCTCAAGAACCCCACTGGACCCCCAAGGAAAGCAAATCAAAACCTGCAGAGGCAATGTGAATCCTGCAATCTTTTTCCTTTCACACAAGTGGTTGGGCAAAAGTTAAATCCAAAGCCCTTCAGTTTCAGCCATCTGCTGAAATCGCCACGACAGCCTCCCAGCAGCAAGGGTGGCACAAAAATAGTTGATATGCAAAGCTGAAATGTGCAAGTTTCCTGCATGTTTGGCAATGACATGCTGCAACTCCAACAAAAATGCAAGCACATGACTGAAAACTGCTGCCTTTTTTCAAGCATTCTTGGCATAGTAAGATTTCTTCTCAGGCAATTTCTCTATGAAAGGCTTCAAGTTGTTGATCACATTTTGTGGGACTTCTCCTGGCTTTTGAGGCTGCCTCCCTGCTTCCAAAGGGAGCTTTTCTGACACAAATGACCATTTTTCCCACAGCCTGTGGTGTATTTCAGAGAGGGCTGTGGTCCATTCCTTGTTCACAAAAGATCTTGAAAAAAAATTCCCTTTCAGGTCAAGTGAAACACCATCAGTTGTACCCACCCAAGTGGTGGTAAACCGATGTTCATTGTGATTGAGCAATATCTTGCATCCAGGAGGTAACATAGCACTGAGCACCTCTACAGGAGTAGAGTAAACTTTGGGTCTTGGCACACCTTTTGTATGTGGCACCTGCTTTGAAGATGGTGGATGTTGAAGAGGTGGATCTGCACCTGAAGATGGTGGATCTTGAAGAGGTGGATTTGCACCTGAAGATGAAGCTGGCTCACTGGGTGCTTGCTCACCCTGTTCAGCAACATGCATATTTTCATCAGCTGGTGGCAAACTGGCTTCAGCAAGAGCTGATGCTGCATTGGGCAAACTGGCTGGATCTTCAGGAGCAATGTCTGCAAAGGTGTTGTCTGGAACACCTTCTGAAAAACCTGGGCTGGGGCTGTACTCATTGCCAGCATCAGCTGGCCCAGTGGCTGGTGGAGCACCAGCTGGCTCTGCAGGCCTGTCTTTGGCAAGCCTCTTGCCAATGGTTTTTCTGATGCCTCTGCCCCTGCCTTTGCCAGCCCCTTTCCCTCTGCCCTTGCCAGCCCCTTTCCCTCTGCCCCTGCCTCTCCCTCTCCTGGCAGGTTTGCTTCTGTCTGGGACATGTTGCTGTGATGCAGCTGATTTTGTTTGGTATCTCTTTTTCCTTTTTTTCTCTTTCAGCTCTTTCAAATCCAACTCATTTGCATCCTCATCATCCAAACAGCTCACCAACTCTTCCAGATCACTGTCCAAAACATCCTCCTTGCTGGCAGCAGCATGGAAGGAATCCATTGCCTTTTTCTGTGCATCCTCACTGCACAAAAACTCTCCACCAAACATTGTTGCAGCCCAGCCTTGCTGGTGTTGGCTGGCAAGGCAACACTGAATTTGGCCAGCAATTTTTTCATTTGGGCCACAGTCAAGGAAACACTTTCTCCTTGGGCAAGTGCAACAAGCAAAGGTATTGCTGGACCAGTGGGTTTCCATTGAATTGTCCCATCATCATCCAAAAATGGTTTTGTGGGCACATGCAGCCAATGGGTGTGGTCAGTGATGAAGTTCCACTTCAAAAGGCACCTGTTTGGCCTCATGAAAAAAGTGCTGTTGCTTGAAACATCCATGGACCAGCCCAAGAAAGCATATTCAGCACAGCAAACCACCTTCCACAGGGATGAAGTGGGTTGGTGTGCCACAATGTCACCACACTTTCCAGCCACACAAGAAATCCAAGCATCCTCAAATGTACAGCCAGGGTGATCACCCTTCAGAAAAGAAAACAGCCACTCTGTTGCAGCCAAACTTGGGAAGAGGCTTGCTGGAGCAGGGGATGGCCAGTGATTTCCCCCCTGCCTTCTGCGCATCATCCTTTGAAATCCCTGGTCAAGCTTGTGTGCACTTGGTGTCAGAAGTTTCCTCACATTTTGCTCCTTGGTGGATTTGCTGAAAACAACTTCTTCAGGAAGTACTTGGAGGTGATTGACATTTCTCTGGCCAAGAGCATCTGAACTGATGGTGCCATGCATGATGGTCATGTTGGTGAGGGTGTTGTCTCTCCTGACTCTCTGCAAGTCAGGGCCCTTTTGGTGGGCCACCTCTATGACTCTTGAATCTCCAAGGTGCTTGGCCAGAAGCATTTGCAATGAAAAAGCGCTGCCAGACTCACAAGAGAGCCCCTGGCACTTGTCCCTCTCATGGGCCATGCAAAGAACCCTGGCATAGGTGCTGAGCCTCCAGTACATCTTTTCCAAAGCTGTGATCTTACCTGTGTGGAGGCTTGCAGCTTCAGCTCTCAGAAGCAGCTCCCACTCAGTCAGCAAGATGTCCCTTGCAGCTGCAGCCTCTTGAGGGTTGCTGAGCAAAACAGCTTTCCACCTCATTGGTGGCAAGGTATATGCTGAAGACAAGGAAGTGGCCCTGCAGCTCAACAAGTTGTGGAAAAAATCACAATGCTCAGCCAAAAGTGGGTCATTGTCCTGGCCCTCAAGCTCTTTGGGTGGATACATGTGCCTCAACTCATCCTTTCTCCACAGTGATGATGAGACCATTTCCTCCAGCTCAAAGGCCCAAAAGTTAGCCCTGCAGCAGGCCAGGTTGTTTTCTAACACCTGGTTTGGTGTCACAATGTTTCTGGCCCTCTCTGCATGGCACTTCCAGGTGGCCCTGCAAACCAGGAGCAACATATCCAAGGTCCAAATGTTTCTCTCTGTCACCATTGTTGGTGCCAGTTTCCATGTCCCAACTGCCTTCTTCAAATCATTCATCTCCTTCTTGGCATCTTGTTTGTTTTGATCTTTTGCTGGGCCTTGTGGCTCCTCCAATGGCTTTGGCAAGCCCTCTGCACCAGGCCCCAAAGGACTGTCAGCATCTCTTGTGTCAGATTCCAATATGAGTTTTGTTGCCCATAAGTCTCCTTTCCACTCCATAGCCACTTCAAAAAATGACATCCATCTGAGAAGCTTAACCAGTGAACCTTTCTTTTGAAAATTGCTAATGTGGGCCAACCCCCTGAACATCTCCTCTTCTTCCTCTGCAGTTTCTGGTTCATTGATTTTTCTCTCTCTGCATATCTTGGGAATTGCTGCTTGGAAGCTAGCATCCTTGTAGGTCCTTGTGCTCAGGAATTGTTCCAGGACTGACTGTTTTTTGTGGAAAAAGCCACCTGATCCAAATGGAGAATAGTTGATGTTGAAGAGGAGGACAAGCTTCAACATGCATTTCCATGGGTAGCCCAGTGATCTCTTTGCACTGAGCTTCAGATCATTCCACCCCCGATGGAAGCAGTCATACTGAATTTGTATCATCAACCTCTCTCCTCCATACATTAAGAAATTTAAACTGGCAGTGTTGCTGGGGCCCTGGTCTGAACATGACACCAGAGCTGGAAGGGCAGAGATGTCCAGCTCTGGTGGCAGCTCAGGCCTGACCACATTTCCAGGCCCAGCAATGCACCAAGCACCATTAAAGAAGATCCTGGTCTCTCCATCTTGCAGTGGTCTTGCCAGCAAAGTCTCAGGCACCCTGAAATCCATCAAGCTGCAACCAGTTGCTTGCAATAATGCATGGGATAAGGCTCTGATTTCTGAATACCCTTCCAAGGTTCCAAGTTTTGAAGCCTTTGCTTCCTCAATGAAGCTGTCATGTAAGTCTGCAAATGTGAGCTTCCTGATCTGCTGGTTTGGCAAAAATGCTGCACAGTCAGCAGCAACTGAATACACAGTGCTCACCAGGGTGTTCTTGCCCCCATAGTCAGATGGATCCCAGGAAACAGCAAATTGTCTGGGCAAAGCCTTGTCAGAAAATGTTTTGAAAACTTTCTGCAAATATAGAAACACCACTGTGTGCGCTTCTCTCTCAACAATGTCTGAATGCTGTGGCACCAAACTGTCATGTGTAGAAGCTATCCTCTTCCTGGCACTCTTGTGCTTCCTCATCTTGTCAAGCAAAATGAACTTGTTTGTGTGGTCAACTTTTCTTTTGTGGGAGCCTTTCACTGTTTTCAGCATTGGCAATTCCTCTAAAGGTTGGGCTGATAGCCTCCTGGCCTCTGAATCCATCATGCCTGCCACCCATAGCAGAAGGTCAGGCAGCACATATTTGCATACAGACAGGTATGGATTCAAATTTGAAACCATCAATTTGGGGTGGCCAAGCAGGTAGCACAAAAAGAAGAGGATATCCTGCATTGTGGATGCAGCCACAGTGCTGGTCACCCTGTAGTTGCACCATGGTGTGTCTTGAAGCTGCTTCCACACCTCAAGAGCTGCAGCATTCCTGTGCAGCACTTGGCACCAATCTTGTGTCACCCCCTGTGCTGAAAATCCAACCTCCACTCTGTGAAATTCACCATCACCACCTTCAAAACTCAAACCCAAAGGCCCACTAGCAAGGCATGAAAGGGAAGAAACCAAAGTTTGAAGCAATTTGATAGCTGCCACCTTGCTCTCTGCAGGATTCCTCTTGTGGGTGACCTGGTAGAACACCAAGCAAAGCAGTGCCCTGGAAGTGACAGTGTGGTCAGGCCATGGCTCCACCTCACTCACTTGGTGGTGAAGCTTCTTGTAGCCCAATTCTATGTCTGGCACACTGAACTGTTTCAGGAACCCCTTCAGAGAATCAAGGTTCCTCCTGAGGTATGCACCCCCTTCAGAATTTGAAACCAAATGCTTGTGAACCCTTTCATAGACCCACTGTGGCTGCCCATCCACATTGATATAAGCTCTCAAGTTGAGCCCTGAAGCTTTCCAAGTTGCCACTGGGAACTGTGGCTTGATGTTGGGAACATTTGCCTTCTTGGAAGGCACTTCTCCAACATGCCCTTCAACTTCCATTGCTGTGCCAAAGTCATGGTTGCTAAAATTAAACCTCTACCCCTAATGATTCTTTGTGGCCCAAGCTGTGTGGTAGACAGCATGGCTGGTTGAATGATGTTGGCAACCACCCTGTGTGAAATCTCAAGCATGTAATCATTACATAAACAGCCAGTCTGTGAATCTTGTATCTGTGTGGGCTGTGGCCCTCTTTGAGCAGGTGTGCACAAAATACATGGGCACCAATCAGTAGCCAAGGTTGAAACATGGCAGCTTGCAGTGCATTGCATTCAGAAATCAGGTGCTTGCAGTGCATTGCATTCAGTGCAACCCCCAGTCAGGGACCTTGCAGACCTGGCCTCAAAGTGAAGAAAGCCTCCAAGGTGGAGATGGTGCACCAAAGCCAAAACTCAGCACCTGCAGGCAGTGCTGGCACCAAAGCAGGAAAGGGACTGCTGGAATTAGGAAAGGAAAATGACTTGGCAAACCAAACAGCCAAAGCTGAATCACTAAACCACTGGCACTGGAGATAAATAATGGCAGTGATGTTCTTTGTGAAACCTATGGCTTTCAAACTAGCTGTGCACCTGGCCACCTTGCTAGCTGGTGCATGCCACATGCCATACTTTTAATGATGCAGCTGCCCCAGAGCTGGCCTCCACAACATGCATCTTCTTGTTCTGGTAAGCAGGTGGTCCTAGGGAGTGATGGGGGTGGCCACCATGGATGAAGAACTAAAAGGGGGGATTGGTCCTCAAGTTAAATTAGTTTCTAGTCACTTGGGTGTGGGCCTCACATATTTGCATCCAAAGCTCCATCTAGTGCTTCCAATCACCAGGCTGGAAAAGTGCACATGGGTGGCAGGAGCAACCTTCTCCTGGAGGAGCAACCTTCTTGCAAATCCTCAGGCCACCAAAATCTGAAAGGCTGCCCACTGCACTAATGATTCCACACCCCACTTGATGCCTGTAATTCTTTCAATACAAATTGTATGCCAACCCTACCCCAAATCTAGTTTCAAACTTCAGGCAAGGCTCTTGTTACATCTGAGACATCTGCTACACTGGCTGCAGTGAAATGGTTTTGACTTGCTGGAACTTGGTGCCTTGCCAACTGCCACTGGGTAATGAAAGCAGCCTGCAGGCATAATGGATGTCCTTGGGAAACAATAGCATCCATCCTCCCCCTTCTCTTGCATGGCCCTGGAGCTGAGAAGGAGAGACTTGGCAATAGAGAAGCATGGCATTATTGATGAAAGGGCCTCATTGTGCTCCCAGCCAACCATCTTGTCCTTTAAAACCTGCTGCCACAAGAGCTTGGTGCATGCTCTGCCTCTTGGTTTCCCAAAGTTGGCAATGGCAAGCTCCACCTCCCCACTAGAGAAGTAACTGCTGAAGCGACTTTCAATCTCATGTTTCTCACCAGTTGTCATGTAGACCAACATCCTCATGGAAGACTCAAGGCTCCACAAATTTCTCCTTTGAATAGCAACCTTGGTGACTGGTCCCCAACTCAAAACACACACAGTGATAAGTGTGTGGCTAATACCACCCAACCAGGATCCAACCCTATTGTTTTTTTTTGGCAAGCTCAATTAGGTGTGTGGCTAAACCCCACCCAGCCACCTCAGGGTCAGTAGGTGCTTCAGAAAGGGAGCAGCTCTCCTCAGCACTCTCCTCAGGAGCACAATCACTGGATTCCATTGAAGCCATGGCAAAGATGGCTGGGAAAGGCCTTGGCTTGCAATGCAATGCAGTCTCATGGGTGTTGTTGGTACATAACTACTATCAACAACAAAGCCCAACTTCCATACAAAACAGTATCCCCCATCATCATAAAGACTTTAGCTTTAAAATTTGGACCCCATCATTCATGAAAACCATGGATTCAAAACTGATTGCTAGCTTTGCCAATTTGAACCATTTGAACCATTTAAAAATTGAACCAAATAAAGTTACCCCAAATCACCAACAGCATTCTCCACAGCTTCCAGCTAGCCTAGGCACTGAAGCCACCCAGCCAGGTGATGATGCAGGGGTGCTCGCTTTTCAGGGCCAAGGATATGGCTCCACCACAGGTCAACCAATGGTGGTTTGAAAGTTTGAGCTGGTGGTTTGAAACCCTGAGTGCCACCCCATTAAAGTAGTACCATAATATATTTAGCTGGTGGGTTGTGATTTTATTTATACTTGTAAAGTGCATGGTGGGTTATTGCATTTATAATTGCATTGGTAATTGTATTGTGGATGGAAGAAATACTGCACCAGTTGGTAACTACCTATTGGTGCCTATGAAGCAATATCAATCAGATAATCATGTGGTTGCCAGGTGGGGAACTATTTGCCAACTGGTGCAGGAACCCTCAATATCAATAGTTAGTTATGTTAATTTGTGGTTGGTGTGCTTATATTTTTGAGCCACCATTCAAGACACCAAAATTCAATTGGTTGATGTTTGAAATTGGACCCCAGCTCAGAAGCAAATAATGCCACAATACCAAGGCTACCAGAAACAACCAAACTCAACCACCCCAGGGTGACCCATGCCAAATTAATTGATCACCACTACATAACCCCACTGGAATCTAACAAAATCAATCATAATTTCCCCAATACTACCCAGCAAAATCTAACAAAATCAAACATATTTTCCCAACCACAGCCTAACAATACCCAACACAAACCTAACATAATCCCACATGAACCTAAATAAATCCCACAAGAATCTAACAAAATCCCAAAAATGGGCCAGCCACAATGAAATCCCAACCAATCCTAAATAAATACTACAAAAACCTAACAAAACCCCACACAAACCTAAAAAAATCCCACAAATGGGGAAAGCCACCCAGCACCAATTTATATAAAAAAAGCCAATGCCTAAACAGAACTCTGCCCTTTTTTTCCCAGCTCTGCTAAATTCATGTACTTAATGTATTTCTCATTCTTTAATCTTTGGAATAAATATGTCTTCACCTTCTATGGTTTCCTACTTCACAGTACCATCAGCTTAATTCCCAAACAGCTATTGGTTGGCTGCCCCATCATGGTAAACAAATACCCTTGATTCATTAATGGCAATTAATTGGTGGTGGGTCTTTCAATGTGTGGTGCACACCATAACCAAAACATTCAAATGGTGATATTATAATAGTATAATTCAATTGTTTGTTAGTGGTTATTACCAATGACTATTTTCCAGCTCCTTTAGCCTTTAGCAAACATCCCAACCATGCTTGGCCCCAATTGTACTGGTGATAATTATTCACCCCATGATACCTTTATGTTTTTAAAGATGGTGGCCAAACAAAACCATTGGGTGCATGTGGGGGAATTGCCACAGTAATACCCAACCACTGGTTCATTGCATGTGGGATTCAGCCCCAACAACATCATGGACCCCTCCTAGATCCCAGTTTGCTGGTTGTGCATCCTAGCTACTCAGCTGGTAGATTAGCAATAGCCAAATTCAGGTTCAAATCATATTATTATTTGCATGTCATATATATTAACATGGTATATTATATTATTGAGTAGCTGGGATGCACCACCAGAACCCAGGAACTCAACCAATGCAAATGTGGGTGGCCACTGGTGGGGTTGCCAAACCCAAACAACAGCATAAAATGGTGCAGAGCTTCAAACCCCAACACCCATGCCATTCCCACTCAGAAGGCAGGGCCCCAAACATAACTACTCAATGGTAATATCACTATCTCATAATAAATGGGCCCAGTTCAATAAATAGGAAACTTGGTAGTGGTGGTGGTCAGGAACATGAATATGGTCATAGATATAGTATAATGTTCCTATTAAATGATAGGGCCTGCACCAAAAAAGAATGATTGTACCTTTTAAATATCACTATGTACTATGTTTGGCTATTGGGGTGGCCCTATTGATTTATGTGGTGGTGCAGTGGCATGCTGCAAGTGCTTCCTTTTGCTTGCTCACTCTGTTGCTCTGACTGTGCTGGGTGTTTTCAGCCATATATCTAATCTAGTCTTAACAGCTCTCAGTCCAAGTTAGGGGGCTCCACCCCAGCCATGGCATAGGTCATCCTGATCAAGTTGTTCATGCTCATGGGGAGGAGTTCTGGGTTGTCCCTCCTCATCTGGCGCTCTGCTGGTGTCCTTGGGCATTTGGTTAACTAATCCATGAATGGGGCCAAGGGATTACTAACTAACTATATAAATACACACCAAATATTTGCCATTGAATCCAAATTGGTAGAACAAAAATGAATCATCAAGTATTACTTTGGTGGTCTGTCCCATTGAAACCCATCTTTGATGCAATACATACTCCAAATGCCATAAAGTAATGAAACACCCTTGCAAATTAAATGGAAATGGAATTGCTTGGTTGGGCCAAAGCTCCACTCCTTCCACCCACTCTCAAATGTTGCCACATGCCAGAGGGTCGTTTCTCCACCACTGTAAGTCCATGGCACATATTGCTCTTTCACACAGGGCTGCAAGCCTGTGCCCCTGATAACATTAACAGGGGTTTTGGGTGGCATTCCTGCTGGCACACCAGCTGCCAGGAAAAAACAGTCTTACTTACCAGACTTGGGCCATAATATCACATGGGAATTGCCACAAATTAAATATATGTATGCTACCTTGAATTCCATCTTAGTTGGGTGACAAGGTAATAGCATTGGTTGGCTGGTCCATTAATCAATGGGAATTTCAGGATCCTAAAATGGAGGTACCTACCATATATAAGGCCTATATACTGTAAGGGCTATGTAAGGGGATATCACCCTAAAATATGGCCTTATATGGTACAGTACCTCCATTTTAGGATCCTGGAATTCCCATTGAATTAAGTTAAGGAGGTAAATTGGGTTATTCCATTTCAAGGTTGGTTAGAACCAAGGACATGATTTTATTTGCTGACCAAACTAACATGTGGTGAGCAGTAAGCCATTTTCCTTGAATGGGATTGAAAGCATCAACAAGCATATAAATATAATTCCCAACTGTCAGTGGTACCCTGCAACCAACCCTTCATTGA